CTTTTCTGGTTATTACCCGTCAAAACACTGGTTTTCTTGTTCCAGTCTGTTACTGTCACTTTGTTTTTGACACTTTAAAATACTGCTAACCTACAAAAATGCTGTAAAAATCCGATTTATTATGTAATAAAAAACATTTTCCGAGTAAAAAAATGTTTTATTGAAAAAAATATATTTATGAAAAAAAAATGTCTTCCCTTTATTATTCAATATCGCGATAAATACCGTACCGTGGACTTGTTATCGCGATATTATCGTACCGTAAGTTTTTGGTATCGTTACATCCCTAGTAGTTTAGCATCCACTTATTATCCAAGACGCTGAAGCTCGTTGTTAGCTGTGGTTACAAGTCATGTAACTCCAGCATCCTAAGCACCCTCAAATGGTGTAAAAGAGCACAATAATAAGAATATTCTGCACAAAAGCATGAGGTGCCTTGCCATTTTAGCTAGGATGGAACAATCGTGGTTCACTGCATTCCCTGGTTGAACTTTAGAAGTTCATTCTAGCAGTCAGAGCAGGTAGTAAGAAAACACATGTACTTGAGAGCATTGTAGTACAAATTGCTACCATTATGCTGGACTCACACCTTGAAAAGGATTACCTTGACATTAACAGTGTGTTCACAGATGTTGGAATCCTTAAAGCACCCGGTATGCACACAAGTGGGAGATTACATCTAAATGCCATGGCTGTGAATCGCTCTGGGATGTTAGTGCTCACCAAGGTTGATAAGCTGGATTCAAATGTCTAAGCAGAGAGAGAGTATCAAAGAAATAGCTGAACAGTCAGACAAAAACTGACCAATTACTAACATCAATGGCAGTTTATATCATTATATGATTAAGCCTGTAATTGTAATGCAATCTGATTAAGAACAAATGTTTTGAAAGCCTTTAACATGTGCTACTTGTCTGTGCCCTTTATGTAACATGAAGGAGATACACTGCTAACTGCCTGACTCTACATTGTCTGGTAACATCTGTTAATGTCAAGAAGCATATTATTAAAAGAGCATATTTCACCTGTTTCACATGTATGTCCAGTGATTCATATGCTAATGATTTACATAGTGTTTTTTTTTATATATATTTGTTTTTGCTTCCATATGCTAACTTAATGAATTGTAAACAGTTACTTTGTATCTCTTCTCCACAGAGACACAACGTGCATCTCATTGTGGCGTGGAGTGAGTATTTACAGGTTTATAGGCCAAAGGGTTTGACATTAGCAGACGGAGTGCTTGCGCCTCACATGCTGTTCATGTCACGGCAAATCTCATCTCATCTGACTCAGAGAGAAGGGGCTGCTGGCTGCTGAAAGGCCACCTTCCAAACAGATACCATCAGCCTGACACCTTGACCTGACTGCAGCTGAGGGCTACAGCTCTGCTCCATATCATATCCAGACGCATTAAGGTGAGAGAGCAGGGTCACAATATAGTGCATTAAAAACACAAGGCTGATCCTTTACTTCCAAAGCACCGGCAATAAAAAAAAGATCAAGTAGTAGGTCAATAGGTGAACTACTGTCGTTTTAGAAGTAGTAGCAGCAGTAATGCCATGGAAAAAAGCATTGTATGCCAGTTGAGCTTGCTTGGTCTCAAATGCAACCAATTATACACCCTGATCAGATCAATTGCTCCCATTGTTCCTCATGTTTGTGAGTGTATCATACATGAGGTGTTGAAGCTAAGGAGGGAGAGATCAATGTTTGTCCTAAAGCTGGTTTTGCTGAATCTCTTTGGATTTCCCGAGATTAAGATGGGACATCCTGCTATAGTGTTATAGATACATTGTGTCAATAGTAGCCTTGTATTTATGTTATAATTTAATTTTGCCTTGTGCTAATTAAAGTGTTTTTTACCTAGAAGAAAATCTACATGCAGCATCCAGCCAAATTCCCTTTATGAAGCTCAAGGCTTTAGTTACTGCAGGTCTCTGAGGAATCGACCGTGAGATGTCATGGCGTCAAATAAATTGTTGTCTATAGCTCTACTCTGGTTTGCTCCCTCTCGTTTCCTCTCATCCACATATTCTCCCCTCGTCCTTTATACACTCAAACATTCATATTCTGGTATTCATTAAACAACGTTGTGTGTGACTGAGTGGCCATGAAGCAGGGCACTGCTGTGTAAGGCTGCCCAGTCAGCCAAAGAATATAATAAAATGTTCCTTGCTGAAAAACAGAAACCTTGTGTTCCAAGTGTGTGATAGATTTTTCGCCAAAGCAGTGAACAAAGCATCAATATTTAAACAAAGCAGCTGAATTAAATGCAATCAATGACAAAAAGGGCTTTCCATTATCAGGGTATGAGGAACAAGTGAATAATATGTGGAGGAACTGCTCAGCCTGCTGACATTCTCTCACTGCAACATCGGTCACATCCAAACAAATCTGTCGTGACCTCAACCACCATATAAGATCAATTAAAATCAAGTACAATTCAATGCAATTTCAGAGAAATGACTAAGAGCCAAGAAAATAATAAAAGTCTCCTCCGTAGTGCAGGGAGATCACACACTATCCCCAGTGCTTGTCTGACATCTAGTGGTCAACCCGGGGTACAGACCCTCTCTAAGCATTGTTTGAATGTGTGTCATGACAGTGGTTCCACACATAAGTGGTGTGATTCGTCATAAACTGAGACCACTTTCATGCCTGGCAGGGGCTGTTGGAGTTTTTGGATTGCACTCCACCAAGTCTGACATAAACAGTGTCCAAGTGCATTTTAAGTGCAGAGATGTAACACACAATCATATGACTCAATCAAATGGGATGCACATGTGTATGACTTTACAGGAGCACCTACCACTGAAACATGAACTCTGAATTTTAACCATCACCATTACTCAAAAATGTTAACAAAAGTCTAACTGCAAACACTGACCCCCTGCCCAATAGTGATCTTTTTGACTGCAAACTGAAGATTGATAAATAACTCAATAAAGGCATGGCCATATTCTCTGAGCACAGTTTTTTTTAAAGGGTAGATACACACATTAAAAAGCCCTTAATTGCTTTGTGAAGCTATTTCCACGCACGCTGGGTGAAAGTCAAGTCCACATCTGTCTTCTCCAACACTGACATGGATTTTGATGGACATAAACACAGACACAAACATTGTTGCAAACATCAGGTTTTCTCCAATTTCATCACTGTGGCTGGCAGCACTTACCTGTGGGCTAGTTTTTCAATTGAGTGTGGCCAAGATAGAAATAACAGTTTGCTATCATTCTGTCAGCATGGGGCAGAACAACATTAGCTTGCTCTGAAAACAAGCACGCACCATGCGGTGCTGTGGATAAGCAATTAGCTTTCTGGGGGCCAAAACTACTGTTTGTCCCACATTGAAAACAAGCAACACCTGTGTGTGTAGCCGAGTGGAGCCAAGACTCAGCTCTGCATAATAGAAATAGAATATCCAACAGGGGCGTGTCAAGTTGCCCTTTTCTGAATTAATTGTGGAGAAGATTGATGGGGAAATGAATAGAATGGGTTACGAGCAGATGAGAGGCAATGAAATCATTTTAGAGCGGAGTGTGGCAGGCAAGCGAAGAGGATGGCAGGATGAAAAATTCTGATGATTAGGAAAGGAAAACATTAATTCAATCTGTGAAAGAAAAGGGGAAATCAAAGTGACGTAACTCATAAAAATAAGACAAATACGACCTAGATTATGTACTTGAAAAGAGGTGGGGAGAAACATACAAATGAGGTGATAAGAAAAACAAAAATGAACAATGGCAAAGAGGGTAAATGATCTGTAATGGGAAAAATAAATCCAACAGTTTCATGGGTAAGGAAATATGGAAGAGTGACGTCGGTAATGAGAGAGGCATCACTCTTGATGAGGTCAGGAGGAAGCAGAAAAGGGCGACTGCACAGAATCAAGATGAGATAGACAGATACATTTTAGTCAGAAAATTGGATAGAACCACTTACTGAGGCTACAGTCTATCCTGATACAATCTGGCGGGAGAAAGAGCGAAATGGTGAGATCAAATCAAAAGAAAAGAGAAAGAAAGAGACAGAAAGAGGATAAAAGAGAAAAAGACATTTTACATCCTTCAAGGTACATTCTGCAGACAACCAAGCATTGCTCTGAGGCCACCATCCGGGGACAGGCTCTGAGTCAGGATCACCCTTTTCTCCATCAATCCCATCATACACCCCTCCTCTCCACCCGATGCCCTCAAAGCACAGCAGAAGGCAAGACTAGCACCACGGGAACGATACAATGAGAGAGCGTGGTGCAATGTCAACATAGTCAAAAGAAACTCTGCAAATGGCATCGTTTGATGATGTAATAAACACTGTATATGTGATTACAGAGACTACATCAAAATGCAAATTGTGTACTTGGAATTATAAGGTCTTATCTGAGTGGAGTACCATTTTGAAATACTGAGCAAAGACTATTTTACGTACCATCTGGCAAAACCTTTCCCTTGTGTGTTATGTAGGTTTTTATGCATGTAAACGGTCTGCAAAGTCACAAACCCTCAAAGTACACCCTGTAGCGAGTAAAACTCTAACACAGAAAATACCTGTCTATGCTGCCCCAGAACGCCAATCCGTGGAGCCGTTACGCTCCGTCCACGGAGCTGTTACGTTAAGTCCACGGATTGGTCCAAATTGACAAATCTGCAGACTTCCTCACACACACACAAACTCAATCTTTTCTCAGCTGCAGCTCCGCCGATTTCTCCTCCCTGAGATGGCGGGATGCAGTGAGGCAGTGAGTCGGTGTGTGCGTGTGTTCGGGCTGGGTTTCACTGTGTCTCGTTGTCTCGCAGACGGCCACTGGGCTTATAGGGGGGGGGGGGGCAGGAGCTCCAACAAGCCGTTCAGGACAGAGAGTGAATACACATACTATACAGAGATGCTATATGAGGAACTAATGTGAGTTTGCAAAATTGCACAATATAAATCTATTTAAATAGACCTCAACAATGGAATTATGATCAGTAGAAATGGCCATGACATGGGACCTTTAACTTCATAAAAAAAAAAGTCAGATAGAGCCAAACATGTTTTGTCTATACTTATATGACCTTAATAACTTAATGTGGTTGCCATCTTGAAGAAGATTGCGTGTGTGAAACCATTTTTCTCACTGTGTGTACAAATAACCTTCTCTCGCATCTGCTGTGAACTTTCTAGAGCTAACGCAGTGACCATTAGTAAATCTTTCCCAGCAATTTGAGTTTCAGTTGCCTTCTGCAGCACTTTGGAGCATGAGAAACCCAACAGTGTAAATGACAAGAAAGGGTGATCTGCACATCCCAGCCACATCAAGCCTGGTGCACACAATGTGCAAGAAATAGGGCTGCCACTTTACTATTTGCTACAAGTGGTGCGACAAAAACACTGTTAAGGGTGTTATGACTTTACAAGCTGTGTTGTCAGAATAGAGTGTTGGATAAAAGTGCTGTCTTTCAAGTAGAAGGCACTGGGTAAAGCAGATGGTCAGTTACCATTTGCTAAGTACCGGTACCCTACAGCAAGAAACTATTTTCTGCTCTGAAGCTTACCGTGACCTTAAGGGACAGGTCACAGTTTACAGGGATAATTAAAGTATGAAATTATAATTCCCCATAGAATACTATATTTTAAATTCAATTCATTGCTGTTCAGCCCCATCTAGTGTCGGTAAACTGTGTGTGCATGTGGCAGTGTGGTTGGGTTGTGGTCTCGAGCTGTCAACCGCTACAGAATAGTGGACACAAACAGCCAGGGACCGGCGTCACGCTGTAGAGAGTCGGGGGTTATAGAAACACAATTATTCAAACTATATTTAGGGGCCACATGTGTTTGTAAGCAGTAGTGTTCTCCGTAGGAGGCAACATTTGTGCAATATTTCTTGTCCCTAAAGTGGGTGAAAGTGTTTTCAACAGATCAATAAATAAAATGATCGACAGAGTTAAATAACAATCAACCGTCTAAAAAGGGAGAAACATTAAGCTGGTTATTGTCATTATCCATCACTAATAAATATCATTAGGGCTTAATCTGTCTTTATTGTCTTTGATAGTGAGTAACTAGATGGGCTTTAATCATTCTAACAAGGATTAAAGCCTTGACAACTAATGATAATGTGTATTGTAATGAGGATTTTGATCTACTTTAGTTGGTAATTAATTAACTTGCAAAAAAGTCCTGAGGAGAGCTTTAATGTCAGTCAACTGTTCAACTTTTAAGCCCAATTGAAAACAGAAACATTAGGATGTGGGTCCCATTTCTCGGATGGAAATTGGAATACTAATATGAGCACGTTGGTGTTATGGATTTGACGTAGGTGTGTGCATGGGGATTTCTAGCAGGTGAAGTTGTGGCCCTGTGGACGGTGTTCGTGCAACTTGGCGGAACTTCAGCTGTGACCCGGTCTCTCTGACTGTCTGATCCAAGGGCCGCAGACATAAAGGCCATTGAAGGGATGAAAAGTTCCATCTTCTGAGTTTTGGCCAGGTGGAGTTTAGATGAGCAGCGAGAGAAAGGGAGGTAGAAGAAGAAAGGAATGGCCACCTCCGCCCCGCCCCCTTCCTGTCTCTATGGTGGCTTAAACTCCCATAACCCAGGGTTACCTTTCTCCCCCCGGTTCAGCGTTGAGACTCTGGTCCTTCAAAGGCTCAGCACAGACTTAAAGTATCCTTAAGCTGGAAGGTCAAACCTAACTTCCCCAGAGCACTAAAACTCATCGCTATGGCATTTTAACAAGTAAAAAGGTCTGCATTCCTGAAGCCAGTTATTAGAAGGAATGTATTTGCCCTATCTCTGAAACTATCCCTCTTACGAACCCTGCTCTACAATTTCAATGAACTTTCCCTGCTAAGATTGCCTTTTAGACTTTGTGACACCCCTCTACTTTTAACTTGTCTGTAATTACATATGCTAGAATACCTATCTTCTGTAAGCACCGCTGTTGGGCAAAAGTAGAGCTATTGAACTCCTCAGCTAACTCCACAAAAAAGGGAGAGGGCAGAACCATGAGGAGGAGCGAAACAGGTCAGTGGGTTGAAGCCCAGGGTGGGTGTCATGGATACTGTTAGAGATGGAGCTTTTAAACAGGAGGAGCTGCTATGGGGCTTCACAGGGCACACAAGGAAGTTGGTGATTGCAAGGAGAAGGGATGGTACAAGGGGTCAAATAATATGGAGGAGAAATGACTGCAGGGTGACTCCCCACAGAGGGAGACCTTTAGTTATATTTTCCTGCAGCAAGCACTTTTGAGGAGAAGTTTCTGTATTGTACCTCAGTTTTCTCAATTAAATATCCTTTGAACATCATAATGTTGGCATTTCTCAAATAAATAAATGTGCAGCTAGCTTGTTCAGCCAACACATAATGACATGAAGTGTTCTCCATCATAAAGAACAAATAAAACATAACTGAGGTACAAAAGAAGAAGCGTTTCCCCAACCAACTATCAACAACAAAAACAAATGATCAATGTGTCAAACCGTCGAGTGACGATGAGGAGACAAGGGATGGAAAGGGGAGGTCAGCAGGGACAACGACCATGTAATACGGCGACCTACCGAGGTTCACGGTGAGCTTGACGCGGCCTCCGTCCAGCTCCAGCCGCAGGGTGTCTGCTGACTCCTTGGAGGTGGTGGCCATGAGCAGGCCGTACGCCCGCTGAGACATGAAGCGCAGCGCCAGGTCCTCCGCCTCCGTGTGCATGGTGACCGGCACTATGATCTTCAGGTACATGCTGCCGTCATAACTCAGCACCGTCGCCTCTGGATAGGGGCGAGGAAGAGGAGAGTAGAGGTTGAAACGTTACACAGGGAAGGTTGTTTCCAGAAAATGTATGTATATATGCTGACAGTTATTTTACTCTTATTTTTACTCATCTCCTATTTCATAGTCTTTTATTATTATTATTATTATCATTTTAATTTTTTTTCTTGATTTTATTTTTTTTTGATTTTATTAATCTGTGTGAATCTTTGCTGTCCTGTTTTTTCACGCTTACCCTGTTGCTGCTTTGTACAACGGAATTTCCCCTCTGGGATTAATAAAGGTTCATCTTATCTTATCTTAGAAAGAAAAAAGTCTTGCAGAAGGCATAGAGTTTCATTTTTGTAAAATATCTCCATGGATGTATTTAAAACTACAATTAGAACAAACTGATTTATAGTTATCTTACTTCATCAAACAGTAAAGATGTTGTTAATATGTGTCCGTCTTATAGGCGCTTAAAAGCAGGACCAGGAAAAGCGCTATACAAATCACATGTATTATTATTATTATTATAAAAAAATAAGCAGAAGTAATATTTTATTCAAAGGATGTTTGGTGACATCATGTACACAATGAGACATTTGTCTCTCTTTGTGTTTTTGGAATTGCACCTATGTTGCTTGACATATCAAGTCGATATTAAATATGATTGTTTCTTCATTTGTTTTGTGTTCACACAATATGCCCAGGAGTTCATACCCCTCTAATTCATTTTCACAGAATGACAAATCTACAACCCAAAGCACCAAATGAAAACATTCATTATAATGGAAAAAAGAAACGCAATAAATATTTATAATGACTCCAACATCATTCACTCCCCAAGCCTAAAAAAAACGCTTACGTTACGCTGGTTCAGGAGAAATTCTTATTAACACCAGGAAATGTGCCTACTCTCTCTAAAATCAGCCATGCCATAAATAGACTGCTGTGTAGAGTGACAGTTCTCTGAGTACTGCTCTTATTCTGCAGCGTAGGTTGACATGCGTCACCATAACATGAGTCACTGTTACAGGGTAAATGACACATCCAGGTTTTAGAAAAATGTAGGTACAAAAAAAATACAGAAAAAACCCTTCGACTGACTTCATAAAAACTGGTGCCTTTGCTGGCAACAGGGTAGGTGTGGGTTTTGAGGTGGCTTGGTACCTCAGTCTATTCCACTCAAATTAGAACAAGTTGAAAAGGCAAGAAATGTCAGAAGTGCTCAGTTACCAGCTAAACTACTGTACCGACTGACTGCCTGTGTGTACTGCCTGTTGAAAAACATGTTCTTGTGTTTTGTAGGACCTAACCTCATTTTTTTTACTTTATATTGAGGGTGTATGTGAGGTTCAGTGAAATGTAAGGTGTACAACTATGTGTGAAAAGACATTTCATTTGCAAATATAATGTAATGTAATGTAATAAATATGACAGGATTCAAGTAATCAATAAAAAATAATTATCAGTGCACAAAACAATATTAATTATCATCCTAAAACCAGCTTAAACAGCATTGATTATTTTTAATTGAGTGGGCTTAAAGGCATCATGTAATATCCCGTGGGTTTATTCATCTAATCAATAGTATGGATTGTCCTTACACTCTGTGAATATATGCACTGAGTCTATTGACACAGAGAAATATGCAACTGGTTATTAGAAAAGTGCCCTGCGACACATCCATGCAGTAACACAAAGCTCCAGTAGATGGCAAAAGAGGGCCACTAAAACTACACCTGTCATCTGAGCGGCCAAATACAAAACTGTTAAAATATCACCCTTCAGAATAAAGACATTTCCTCCTCTACCTCCACTGTCCTGATTTGAGTCCAATCTCTCCTTTCCTCATTACCCTCCTGGTCCCTCAAAATGCCATACAGTCATGGCTCAGTCCCCCCCACGGACACGCAGAGACGAACCATGAAGTGAGGCGCCTGCAGCTAATTGGAATGAATCAGACCTACGTAGTGCGGTTTAACTAGGTAAGCTGCCCTAACTGAGGCGTAAGCACCACCTGTGTTTGGGTGAGTGACACAGATGGTGGCGGTAGGCCTGGCTGCTCTGTCACACTGCTGCCAGCCTCATCGCTCGAGGCCTCCGTCCACCCGCCCCACCACCCAGCCCTGGGTGGCATTTGGTGCACACACACTTCCCTGCGGAGCTCTTACTCTTACTATAAAGCAGCTGCTTGGTTTATGAGAAATGCACAGCAGCGCATCATCGAAATGCTCATCCTAAACGTGTTGCCTGGTTTTATTGGATGGAGTTTACGACATAACATTGTAAACATTGTACAACATTAACAACTATACAGTTTCATTGTTTGACCATCTGCAGTGTATGCTGATTATGAGAAGTTATGTTGCGTCACCGAAGGAACGGTGTTTGTATGTTTGTCACGCTTGGGACGATACAATGGCCTTTCTTTTTTTAATTGTGTATACCACAATTTTGCTATTTCACTAACTAGATGCAAGCTTATGATGAATTCTAGAGCTGAAAATGTGGTCCCTTCACACATAGAGACACCAATTCCTTCCCTTGTCCCCTCTTACCTATCTCACAGTTGGTACCGAGGTATCCGGTGCCGATGCAGTCACAGATGTAGCGGTTCCAGCCCTCTTTGCACAGGCCTGTGTTGCCACAGGGGGCGCTGCTGCACCTCTTCTGCAGTTCCCGGGTGCAGAAACTGCTGACCCCAAACGCGCTCTGGATCTCAGCCAGACGGCGAACATCGCGGCTCTTTCCATCGATGAAGAGGTCGCGCACGCAGCCTACGTAGCCATAGTTAAGCAGCGCCGTCCAGACCTCTGGCGGCAGAATGAGGTCCGACTTTGACTCGGGCAGGCCACCCAGGTACATTTCACTGTCCAGGTCCAGGATTTCACTGCCTTCTGGGGAGCTGAAGGGCATGCTGCGGCTGTTGACTGAGATGGAGCCTAAAGGACAGAAACAAAAAGTAAGTAATCTATTAAATATTGAACGCGTTCGGATTTACAGGCACATAGATATGTCAGTCTAACCATAGTTATTTAGTTTAGTCAAGAGAAGTGGTGTATATCTGCAGGTTTTTTGAGCAAACTGAAAGTGTGCTTTAATTAGTGCAAAACACTGAATTAGTGTTTGGTCTGGATGGGTGAGTGGGTGGGTGGGAGGTCAAGTGGCTGAGTTAGTGAGCAGGTGAGTGAATGGTTTTGTGAGAGGAGCAGTAAGTGGATCATTTAGGGGCACAGAGAGAAGGACATACAGACAGAATGGATGACAGCCGAGTGTGAGTGTGTGTGTGTGTGTGTGTGTGTGTGTGTGTGTGTGTGTGTGTGTGTGTGTGTGTGTGTGTGTGTGTGTGTGTGTGTGTGTGTAACATGCATGTCTGTAATAGGCTAAATGGAGGAGAAGGGAAGCAAAATGCAGCAGAGAGTGGGTGAAACAAAAGGCCCTCTATCTTTCTGTGATTAANCCTTATTTCGAGCTATTTCCAAAACCTATGGAAAAAATGCATTGCTTTTTGAGGAAGGAACCAGAAGTGCCAAAAATGCTAACTTACTTCCGGGTTTTACGACGCGTCACTGCGGCTCTCTATAAGGTCCCATGGACCGGAAGTAGATGGGCGTGACTTTTCCACTCTCTTCCGGATGTTGCCTCTTTTGAATGACGAATACACACTACCGCCACCTGCTGGTAAGGAGAGTTATTGCCACTCACGCATGCACAGTTCGTACGTGTTTCTTGGCCGTCGGCTGAAGTCTTTGCGGTGTGTTCCAGTGCGACTGTTGGCCAAGACGCAGAGATGCGAGGCGACACAACAGTCGGGGGTCCGTCTGTGTCAGTTCTTTGGTGTCAGCTTGGCGTGTCCGGGCCTTAAGGCTCACGAGGTAAAAAGAAGGCAAGAGAGATGTTCTCATACATTACCTCAATGTGGACACCTCATTTGATATTGACAATGCCTTGGAAGAAAAAGAAACACTGTGAATGTTGTGATGGATAGCTACTTCAACAAGCACTTATTTAGTTTGCCTCCAGCAAATGAGCAAGGTAAATTATTGCTACTTCATTACAGGGTTGCAATCATCGATTCATACAGTAATGACCAGCTGTGCTTAGAGAGGAGAGCTGAGAGGATTGGTGATGGGAACAATGTTCCTTTATTTCAGCAGTGGGTCTACAATGCATAGATCCATAGATAAATCCAACATGTATCCATACATCTAATTAGATAGTCTCAAAGGGCAGGTCACGGCTGGAAAATATATAGGGGAACATATACTTTAATAACAAATAGCCTTTCAATCACATGTAAAAATACATAATGACAACAACACCTAAATATTGTTTAATATCCTTTACTAAAAACAAAGGATGACCAGGATCGACAACATGTACAGTAAACAATATTTAGAATATGTAGATATATACAGTAGCAGTAATCTGTTGCTAGTTTAGGGATAATCCAACACAGTAAACTGCAGGTTTTTAGACACTGTTCTTTGCCAGGGGAATATATCACTGACTTTTTTGTTAAGCAAAGCTGACAGTTCGTAATATACAGAATGTATGAGAGAGACAAATAAGGTAAAATCCATGAGGAGTAATATATAAAGATGGGAGGGGGCACAGAAATTTGAGCAATCTATCAATCATCCCCACTCAGCAGTTTCTCTGCACCACCCTTTCACATTAGAGCTCACCCCACTTTTCATACAATCTGCATTGCATCTATCTTCTTGGCTTTCCCTTGGTCATTGTCTTTTTATTTTTTGGCTTTTATTCTTTCTTTTTCTTCTTAAGATGAATGTTTGTCCTTTAGTTTGCAAACATCTGTGGGTATAAAGGGATATGTAATTGTATCATTTCCTAGTACTTGAGTTTATTCATATTTATATTGACTTGTTTGTTAAGTTTCTTTTTGTGTGCAAGTTTTTTACTCTGGCCAAGCATTTAATAGGCAAACAAACATGTTCCCCATCAGTTCTCAGGCCTTTACATATGGCTCGGAGCTAGCACAGGACACACGCCAGTGTTTTTGGACCCGGCGGGCCTGTCTGACTCATGAAGCAGCATCAAAGCTTTCATATGCCCCATACATTTCCCACCAAACTCTCTCTCATCTCACTGTTGAATCGTTTCTCTTAAGCTGTCTTATACTCTCTCTGCGGGGTGGATGGCACTCGTCGGAAACTAATATAGGGTGACTTTGTGTGTGTGTGTGTGTGTGTGTGTGTGTGTGTGTGTGTGTGTGTGTGTGTGTGTGTGTGTGTGTGTGTGTGTTAGAACAGGGAGTTAATGCGATGTGACGAGATGATTTGCCAGCATGCGGTCATCTAGGTTTTTAGATGATTTCACACACATACACACTTGTCTTATTCCATTATTTCTTTTTTGAATTCCCCTAAAACTACCTAATTACTTCCAATATGTAATCCAATCGGCCAAAAAGCAGTATGTTAAGGTTCATTATGCGTTGACTAATGCACCACACAAGTTTGCATGGAACCATTCATGCAGCTCATCTTATTAAACATGCTCCCTCTCTCTCTCTCAGTCTGAGCTGAATCCAATTTAATAACATATGCTGCATTGCACTTTTATTACTGTAATATCCACCAAAGAACAGCCGGAAATGGCACTTTCATGGCGCCATTGACAAACACGTATTGTAATTGTGTTCACATGACACTATATCACCATTTATGAATCTGTGTTTTTCCAGAGTGGGGACACTTGTTATTAATAACAATATATCACAATTCATTGCAGTGCATGCAAGCTAGATAGCTTACTTATTGTCACATATTGATGCTTAGGGCTCCCAGCAAAGCTAACGTTAATATACAACTATAGACTGGTCCAAGTTAATAATGACTTTGATCACGCTTGGGTTGAAGCTCCGTCCTCTTGCTCCCTTTCTCTTCCCCCTCACACTTGGAGAATAATGAACACCAGGGGTTGCACAGTACTTTCTGCTTGACATGACAAATACGGCAAGTGCTTAGCTTTTGATGAGAGCATTATTGTGACAGAGTTAGCAGTTGAGGCTATCTAATCAATGTTGTGAAACTTATATAGGCAAAGGGTCAGAAAGAGACTTCAGGTGTCGCTAACGGACACAAGAGTAGGGGATACATCCTGAGGATAACAATACTGATGGAAACATCTGGAACAAGTCAGTGTGGATGATGGCCCAGCACAGAGAAGCACGAGTCGAAGAGGGGATAGTAGGAGTAAACTTAAAGTGGACCTATCATGCTATATTTGACAAATATATTGTAGGGCCATACCTATATAAAACATGTCTGTGAAGTTTTTTTTTCAAAATACCAAAGAGATCCTGTATTTTAGCCATGCCTGCAGGAGAGGGGAGCGTGCTCTTATCAGCTGCTGGGCTCTCAGAAGAGGGGGAGGAAAATAGAGGCTCCGTCCTCCATGTTTTATTATTATACAGAGTCGTTATTCATTTGTTTTAAAGCTCAATAAATGACAAAGAAGACCTTTGACCGGCACTTTTCTAATTTTGTCCGGAAGATTTAAACTTTAACGGACATGTTGACCGATTGAAACTCTGCCGCACGGTCGGAGAAAAAGAGCCACAGCGGAGAATAAACAGAAGGGCAACCATGGCAACCATGCGCGGGAAATCTTCTTCGCTGCTTTTGTGGCAGACTACAGCGCCACTTACAGGCCTGGCATATGTACTACAGCGTCTCCAGCGCTTTCGAGCGGCAGTCGCCGTGGCCCAACCCCCCTGATAGGTGGAGAGTTGCCCATATAGGCGGAGCACCCCTTTTCTGACGTCAGAACAATTCAAATCTGTATCAGCTCTGTTGCAGCCCCGTTTTTAGAGATTTTGGGTATGGAGGAAAATAGAGAGGGTTGTGTTTTCTGACACTTGGTGAGTTCCCTGACACACCGGGGGACACATATTCATGTACAAAAGTGCATTTTGCATGATAGGTCCCCTTTAAAGTGAGATATGCACACAGCTCGGAATATACTTATTGTCCGGATAAACATAGTCTATTATTATAAGGTTTTAAGTATTCCTGCCTGAGTGATAGTAGTATAAGGCACATTATACCAAATAACATGAAACAGGTTTAAGGCCTGTTGCAATCAAAGAAGAAGCAACTGAAAGTGTACATATAAGATTAAAGTGTGGCTTTTAAGGGGCCTCAGCAGAGTCTGATATCAACAGGTAGGGTATTTCAAAGACAGAGTGCACGATGGGGAAGGCATCCTGCTTTTTATTTTTAACTCTAGGGACAGGCAGGAGCCCTGTATTCTTAGATCAGAAAGCACAGCTGGAATATCAAGTTTAAGGAGATCACATGGGTATGAAATGGTGTGCCAATTTACACTTTTTTAAGGCATCAGAAGTACCTTAAAGCCAGATCTGACATGGATAGGGAGTCGGATCAGACTTTTGAGTGCCTGGAAAAGAAAGGGGTGATGTTGTACTGATGCTTTGGTAACAATCTTAATGTTTTTCAAGCAAAATCAGATGTCAGCTAGAGAGCAACACTTTAAAGCTGGGGTTTATGTTTAGATATTGCAAAAAGAGCTGCGCTAACAGTGCCACTATATGGCTGCTTAAACCCTCATCCATCCAAGCCAACAAGAGCTCCAACAATACTGTTTGTATCAGCAGAATAAGTTAGTCTGGGTTTACATTTTTGTCTTGTGTATTCACATTTTGGAAGCCACTGAACTTCTAAATGTGACGCATAGGAGAAACAGCATGGAGTGCTTGCGTCATGGAATACAGCTGGCGGATACATTCGGACGAATGATAAGCACTTCATTACCGAGTGATTAGTCATGAATCAAATGATGGTTGGACCACTCTGCATCAACACCGGGAGTATAATGTTTCCATCCATCCATCTTCTCCCGCTTAAAGAGAAGTGGGAGAAGATGGATGAGTATAATGTTTGACCCCTCAAAATACCCACTACTAGAGGTCTGGCTACTAACTGCAATGAAATCAAATTCCAGAGGAGCTGAACATCTAATTAATAATAGAGATGCTATTACGGGTGGCTACATTTCAAATGAGTCATTTCTGTAATGTAGTCAGGGCCTTCTGTGAGGTTAATTGAGACCTTGACAGCACTTAAGTCTCTGCTGCGTGCGTGTGTGTCTTGTCTTACCTCTGGCTACAGCGTCGACTCTTGGGCTTCTATGGATAGAGATTTGATCTGAGTGAAAAGCGCACAACGATAGTCCAAGTGTGTATGTGCCGGTAATCACAAAAGTGCTACCATGGGAGCGAGAGGATGAGATGGAGATGCAAAGTAGATGTAAAAGGAGAAACGGATGTACAGCAATGACAGCATATTCAACAGAGCTTAGGTGTTTTCAGAGAAGGACAGAAAAGAGGCATTTCTTGCATTAATTCACGTTTCTTGAAAGTCAAGGCTGCAGTGATCCTATTTTCTCTCCTGGGAAACTAGAAGAAAGGCTTTTCCAGTGTGGAAGAGCAGTAGTGACTTGCTGGGCAAAAGAGATACAGGGAATGACCTAACTCAATATGCGAGAAAATGGTGTCAAATGTTGGATAACACATTATTACATTCCTGGCTTTGTCAATTAGTTTTCGTAACTCCTACATTTAAGAACAAAAATGATATAAAGAATGAAAAATGTATGAAGGAACATTGTTGGCATCGTGAACAGACTGCCGCGTGCAACAGTGCAAACGGTCCCCCCCTCCCCCCCTCGTCCTCTCCTGTCACTCCCTGATCCCCTCCAGCTTTATCTCATCCTCTCAGCCTTCTATTCATTAAACAGACGTAAACAAAAGAAAGTTTTTTGCATGCGGCTCCATCTTGCTGAGCCCATGGAAGCAATCACAAGCTGTTTGTTGCTTACCGTTAAACAGCCCATACTTTGGGAGGAGGGCCCAACTTAATACATAATTGAAAATGGTTGCTGTGGTCCATTTGCCACGCTTTTGTTCTTCCTACATCAGCATCGCAGGCACCGCCAGAAGGCTGCTCTTGGGGGATTTGCTTTTTCTTCCTCCGTGTCATTTTTCCTCTTCATCTCTTTCCTCTTCCTCCTTTGATGCCTTTTTTCGATAACAATTCACACTTCAGTTGAGATTGCTCTAAATTTCAATTTCAGCCAAAATGCTCTTTTAAGTACCTGTCTCTGTCTTGATGCCGTTTCGTCTCTCACTTCCTCTTTTTTCCTCTACATGTGAAATGTTTTTTTCTTTTATACAAGTGCATGCACCCATAGTATGTGTCTACGTTTTCCTCAAAGGGAGCGATAGCATTCCCTTTAATGTTCCAGAAGTATAGCAGTTAGTGTGTCATTTAACAAAGCACTCTTCTGCCTCTCACTTTTCCTTTTGCTTTACCTTTTCATGTGACTTCCAGGCAGCAGTTTTTTCTTTTCTTGGCATTAATAAAATAGTGTAATCAACTTTTCCTCATGTAGGCTACCACACCTTGACCTTTCCATGGCCATATCTCAGTACAAAGTACACAGCTATGACATGGACACACATTATCCATCTCCACTATCCTCTCACCTCAGATTGCTCCTATGGCAAACTCACTCGCTCATGAAATTTGGCTTTCAATCTGTCTGCCAGCTGACCAGCCCCCCAAGCCCCCCCCCTCCAGCTCCAGCCTCCCTCCCCGGGGAAATGCACTGAGGTCTAGGAGCTATCCTCCTGTAATGGAACTTCAGGATAAACTAGATTTGATGATCCACCCTCTCCTTCCTGATTCAGCCCTAAACCTCATTACCTGAGGCAGGATCTTCAATCTGGCCCCCCAGGGAAACAGAGGTGCACAGGGGCAAATGAACACAGGAAGTTGAGTTTCACTTCATATCACAGTTCATGTTGGAAAACCAGTAGATTTGTGTAGCCAATGAGTGTTGAAGAGTTATTCAAGAGTTGAGATATGCCATTCTTATGGGCATCTGCACCAACTATTTCAGGATTTGTTGTAACCACTCTTTGTATTATTTTATATAAATCAATATAACATTGGGGTCATTACTATAGTACAAGACATGGGGAAATATATGATATGATCCAAATAATAAAATTAAAACAATACATAATACACTGTACAGTATGTAAATGTTATTATAGGAGACAATAAGGATAACTAGATAAAAGCTCATCTCATGCTCAGTGGCTCCAGTGTTCACACTCCTGTGATTGAGGTGTCACTGCTGTGATTTTGTTGCAGTGGTACTTCATGTTGTGACAGCGGCAGGTGTTCCATCGGTTCCTGACTGATGCACTGTGTCCTCCCCTGCTGCTGTTAGGCTTCTGTTTGACACTTGTCCATTGTACGAACTCGCTGTTTTGACTGGTAGTATGTGAAGGCGCTCCCTGCAGTGGAAAGAGGCCATATGCTGCAGACAGACTGACAGGCATTAGCAAAGTTGTCAACACCTATTATTCCCTTTCTGTTCGACGTTCATGCTCCCCCTATTATTTGCTCTCTGTTTTCTCTCATACCGTCTCAGGAGCTCTCATACGGTTCTATTATGTGCCTTTCATGTATTTGTTAAGTGAAAGAAGTGTTATTTTTGCCCCGTGAATTTTTCATGATGCGAACATTTCTTGCAAGCATTAGGGCCGCAGCAACAATTCATGTTGTAACACTGGAATTAATAACCATAGCTAATCGGTTTCATCTCAAAATATTTTACCCATGAGATCCTGTGAGCAATACCAGTGTTCAGAAGTTAATCTGCTCAGAGACCCTATTTGGCTTTTAATAGCTGGAATATGGGTTTTTAACACTACAAGACATAATATTACTCTAATCCTGCATTCATAGAGTTTTTATTTTACTTACCTTTCCTTTTCTTCCTCTCATCTTTTTTCTCCAGGTAAGGAAGAGTCAGTAGCCACCTTCAAGGGCAACGAGTTCTTCTGCTACGACCTGTCGCTGACGCCCATCCAGAGCAGCACCGACGAGATCACGCTGTCCTTCCGCACGCTGCAGCGCAACGGCCTCATGCTGCACACCGGCAAATCGGCAGACTACGTGAACCTGTCCCTGAAGAGCGGCGCCGTTTGGCTGGTCATCAACCTGGGCTCGGGGGCCTTCGAGGCCCTGGTGGAGCCCGTCAACGGCAAGTTCAACGACAACACCTGGCACGATGTGCGCGTCACCCGCAACCTGCGCCAGGTAAACACTGCCCGTGTAATCCAGGGCCACCACAGTTGGAGTGGTGCCTCTGTCCGTCACACAACTTATCTTTGCTGCTTCCTTTGACTCTTCTTTACTCTGTCTTTTCTCTCTCACAGAGCTCACGGGGAGTGCTGGTCTCGTCTTTCTTCTGTCCTCTACTTTTGATTGCTAGCCATCTTAACACCACATTTTTCTTTTTCTAGGTTGATGTTGAACAGAAAGCTGGTGCTGTTTGTGTCTGTCTTTAATTGGCTTCATGTTATTCTATAAAATGACCAAAGATCTATCTCACTTTCAATTCCAAAGGTCACTCAGAAGCAAATAATTGAAGATAAGACACATTGCAAGTGAAAATGATACTAAAATCCCAATCCGAGTGAGTAAATATGCATCATGTTGCAAACAAAGACAAATCTGCACATTTAGAGTTCTACCCAGGACGTTGTTTTGTATTGTTATTAATGAGCAAGTGGAGAAAGTGCTCTCCTCAGTATGTATGCACATAATGTACTCAGCTACACAAATGGAATGCACCCTAATATATCAAAGGTGACAATGCACTTAAACCCTTTCTGAACAAATTACCTAACACATCTTTACAGACCTTTAGCTAATGGAAAACCAAAGAGCCCCAGCAACCTGCATGTCTGTGTGTGACTTGCAGTGTTCCTCTGCTTCTTACAAGTTTAATTGTATACACTTACTAAGTACACACATACAGTACACACGCGGCATGCTTGAGACTCTTTGGATGCACCAGGTCATCAATTGGCAGTTGCAGATACCATCAGTGAGATACAATCAATTTCACTTACACTTGCCGTGCTTACTTATCACATTTTTTGTAGTAATTCTAATTGGAATGAATGGCTTGTCAGACTTAATAACACAAATTGTAAGTTGCAGCAAATGCAAAAGCGCCTGATGTGAATGCATTAACACAAAGTTTTACTTCTTTGTGTGTGCCTGCAAAAACATCCTAAGAAAGAGGATGGGGGTGGGGTTTTTTCAAACTGTTGGACCTTAAGAGGCTAAAGAAGGAATACAAACTGGTTTTTAATGTGAACTAAGTGCTGTTAAATTATAGGGTGAAATGTCCATGCCAACTAGACATAAGAATGTCAATCATAATGCAATAATATGAGATATTTCAGTGTGGTAACTTAATACAGCATCACAGGGATCAAAATGTTATGCTTTAGAGCTCAGTGTGATCAGCGGGGTGAGACTAGCTTAATGAATTTGGGAGGCCAACACAGTTTTAAAGATTTACAGCAGGAGCCAACCCACCTACCAACTGCAGCATTAGCACAATAAGTAACACATGCACGTACATTGAAACACTATTATCTGCCTTGTCTGTCTACCAATCTTATACCTATACTTTTTTAACTAAATGATTCCTATCCTTTTTTATTAAATACAGCTTTGAATATAATTGTGTCTATGACGTGTATTGTTTAAAGCTTATGAGTTAAATCACTTGATCGTAAACTTACATACACGCACCTGTTGCTCACATAAAAACAGCAGGCACATAGTGTAGTATTATGTTAATCTCACTTTGTCCTCGATCTTCATATGGAAACCTAATGTAGCTGAGTAGATGTATAGCACCAGCACTCAGTCCATGCCTTGAACTAGAACTAACTACGGTTTGAGCTTCCCAGCAATCTCTATTAACTCGCATAATAGCTTGAATCCTCAGTGGATCACTGTAATTGACATAACAGGTGGCCTAAGTGTTAAAGAGCTCTCTAGATTTACACCAGGCCATCCCCACCGAGAGACAAAAGGACGGGGTATCAATTATATTGACCACCTTTGACCCTGTGTTTGCTGCCGCCCTGATACCTAGCTGATCAATAAATACTCGCAAGCCAAGGCATTTAAGTGCATTCACTAAATAAGTGTATCGTCTTTTAAACAGTAAAATAAATGACTATAAGTCTCTTTTTGGTTTTATATATATTTATATAAGTGCATTTATAGTTAAAACATATTAATAGAACATGCTTGTTATTGGTATTATTTAGTGTCACCAGGGGAGCAAGATGTTACATATTTTAACAACGATCAATAACACTTAAAATTAGACAACACTGTTTGTATCATCATTCAAAATGTATGCTGGTGCAAAATAAATGTTTACTGCATGTGTACATTACTGCACATTTCTTAACTTGAATTTACTTTGAAACAATTGAACACAATATATTTCTCTTTAACATGATATTCTAAAAGCTGCAAATAGTGTCTATTACATTAGCAAGGCACCATAAGCCTTAAGCTTTATGACAAAGGTCAATCATATCTAGACTAAAGAACAATAGTTTGTTTCTGTGTTTCATCAAGAGATGCATATCAAATTTTACATAATTTATACTCTGTGCATTTTATGCAAAACAATGTATTTTGTTGAATGACTGCAAATGGTGGACACAATAATGAACACCAACTATACAAACTTCGCCTTTAAAAACACCTTGCATTAAAATGTAAACTTCCATGTCAGTCTAACCAAAACTAACCAATATAAGCTGGGCAAAGAATGTATATAATGCTAGGCTGCTAATTTCAATTGTATCGCACTTTGCTAACAATTTGTCCACATTCTGTTTTCAGTGTGCTATTAATTATCTAATTTACAAATGCAAATGCTATGCAAGTCCATCCACACAAACACACCATTCTTTTTTTCCGCTGGTCTTCCCACTGGAGCTAACATGATATCTTGCATTACAAGTACCCCACCATCTAAAAGACGAGCGTTAGATTCCAGCTGCGGCTATCGTAGTGGTCTCAACAGTCTCATCCACTCTCTGTCTGTTGTTCTTAATGGGTCTTGCAACGTCATACATATCTACAGCTGCATCAGTAAGCTCCAAAATAAGTAAAGCCTCTGAGCTCTCACCAGCCAGTCTCCCTCACCCACTCTCTCCCCTCTCTCTCTGTGTGTATATTTTCCATCCTTTCTCCACAAAACCTATGAATTTGTCAGCTTTGTGTAGGATAAAATGAAGCAGACAGAATTAGGTGAGGTGATAGGGACTCTCCGCCAAGAGAGAGAAGAGAAGGGGGAGGATGGGGGAGACATGCTGTATTCCTAACAGATGATCACAGCTTCAGAGCTCCCCTTGGTGGCATATGGCAGTACTGCTCCAAGAGAGGGGCTAATCTCTACAGAGCACAGATGATAGGCAGACAAGGACACACGCCTTGACCTCTCATCACTGCAACTCTCTCCCCACAATTCACACACATTGTACCCCACCCAATGCACATATTGGTTTGTATAAGGAGCAAGGGATCCCTCACTCACATCCTCCCTCCCTTTGACATGCTGATCTACTGTCACAGACATCTTGTCGAGTTCAGCACTGATGACCACCGTCCTCTGGGAGGCAAAGGGCAAATCCAGAAAGGCGTAGGGAAAAGACAAAGATGGAATGTCAGGGTGTCTTGTGGTGAAAATGATATATGTATCTGATACACTGCAGTAAAATAGAACATATTGTGTAAGTAGGTCAAACATATATGTATAATTGTGCGATGGAATACAAGTCAGCATAAATCTAGCAGTTAAAGCAATCCAAGCACAATTCATACTTTAAATATGAAACTCTCATTCTTCATTGTGCTGTATGGTCTGTGAGTATTGATGTTGGGATAACTTTTAGCTTTGACAACTAGAAATACCAGCCACAAGTCTATTGAGAGTACTTTGAACATCAACTAAAACCACTGGCGCCTGTGTTGTTATGTTCCTACCCATTACTGTCATTAAAATATTTCAAAGTCAATCAATCACTTTGCGTGTGTGTGTATGTGTATTGCAGAGAGCAGCAGAGCAAGTGCAGATCAGGTAGAGGCGGATGTTCAGTGGGAGTCTTGATGAATGTCTGATAGTTAATGCATGGCCTTCAAACATTAGATTTGCATACAGGTTCTAATAGCATTGCCAGCAGTGAGATGGGGACATCAAATGAAATGAGAGCAGCCAGCAGATGTTTTTATCAGCTTCCTCTCCTCATGCATAATCACTATTCCCATGGCATTAAAAGTGCAACCAGCAAATAGAGCAACTGTTCATTGACTGGAACCCAGATTAGTTATGGTACGACATGGATGTAGAGTTACTGATGTCAGTCAGTAGCAGGAGCAGAGTGCCATCAATTGGTGGACATCTTTTTTGTGTTCACAGCTATGACTACTGCATCATGTGGTTAAACATTTGTAATATGTCATTTACTATAGTGTAGCTTTTGTTATGGTATTTGCGTGACATTTACAGAATGCAAAAAAAGTGTTTTTGTTCATATTATAGATATTCCATGGCGTAAAGATACTGATGGATATCGTGCTTCCAATTTACTGGATAGATAGAAATAAACCAATGTAAAGTAAGGCTAACTTTCCATGTAGACGATCACTGGAAAATGAATGGCCTCACATCACAGCGGCCTGTCTGCATGCTTAACAGGCACTAGCATCCCAACGGACACCACAGGCAGTCAGAGGAAACATGAGACACACACTGGCAGAGAAGAGGAAGTGCGCGCTTGTATGTCTGTATTTTTGTTTGTTCATCAGAGGAAGAGAGAGTGAGATGATGATTGTGTGCACAACAGAGAGTGGGAAATGAAGTGCAGTGCTGCTATTTGAGACTAAAGGAATATCAGAGGAGTGGGAGGATGGGGGGAGCACAGAAAGAGAGACAGCGGTTTGTTTTACTAAGGGAAAAAAAACGGAAGCACGATTTCTTTTGCATTCCCCAATGTCACTTTACAACCAGAATATTCTACATCGACTGTGTCACAGAACTGGGCCAGAAGCTTAGCCAGCGTCAAAAGAGAGAAACCTCTGAACTCAATATCTGTCTTTTTTATATTCCCTTTTTCTGTGTCACTGTCACCCTTTCCTCCCTTTTTTCTCTCACTTACAGTATAATCAGTCCTCATGTCTCTAGCTGTCCCTCTCCTTCTGTCTACCTTGAC